CGTATGTGGACAGGAAATACGGAAAGTAAGCCCACAGTCACAAAGTGTCTGTCTGCAAAGATACTATGTAAATATAGTTTACACTTTATACGATGACATGTATTGTCCGCGCCAAAGAATCAATCAATCGCTTTGGGATGTACATATTTTAAACCTTGATTTCTTGCCGTCCCTCACACGTCAAAATAAATGGAGCTCAGAGTATCAAATGGGTTCCATGACGTACACATATATGGACAAAAGAATCAAATTATGCCCACTCACAGATCTAAGTCCAGAGAGCATGTATCTCACTTCCTGTGAGATGAAACAACTCAGTTGTAGGAAGTTTTCTTTACTGAAGCTAGGGGGTTCGTCTTCAGCTTCAACACATTTCAACTCGCAGTCAAATGTGCCACCAAAGTACTGGTCCACCAGTGACCTGCAAGCGCAACATAAAATGTTATTTTTTGGTTTAGACAATGATACTCAGTCAGAAAACTGGGCGTGAACCAAGAACATAAAATATTATTTTTTGGTTTAGACAACGATGCTCAGTCAGAAAACTGGGCGTGAACCAAGGCGGACATTAGTAGACTAGCAGCAACGGAGATCAGATTTTTAGAGTACCGAAGGTAAAATCAAAGGATGCCGTTGGATCTGACATCGAACTGATGGCAAACCACAAGACGGACACTTACTTAAATTTTGACGGAGAATCGAATCCTTCTATTGGTTTTGGTGGGAGCTTCTGTTGTAACATTCTGACTAATTCCGTCCAACATTCATTAGCATCTTGCTGGGTAAAGCCACCATGATCACTCTTCTCAGCAAATCGAGGGAAAGCCATGTGGAGCACCTGAAGAAGTATAATAGGAGGGATAGAGGCACCCTTGTCCATGGAGTCATATAAATCTCGCAGCGCAGCTGTGATAGATTGCGCCGGAACCATGCCACCTGCCATAGTCACACCTGAACGTAAAAAGGAAAATTATCATATCAGTTTACACTATCAACACGCATAATGTATTAATACATGGATATCTACACGGCCAAATATCTAACCAAATAAACAACCAACAAATTATAAAATAAACAGCTTTCATGGCCTCTGAATGCAACTAACCTCCTTGGAATCCCCGTAACGCTTCTCTGAGCTCTGGGACAGTTTTCAGACACTGCACTGTTGCGTTCATGTAGCACGTGTTTCCGAGGTTCGTAAGTCCTGCTGGCATATCCAGCTGAAATAACAAAGATACCATATAACTCTTAAACTTAAATTTTCAGTGCTTATTTTACGGAATGTTTAGCGGTGTCTGAGAATTATCTTGTAAAATGCAATTCCTTTATGCAGACAACCAAGCTCGCTTACTTCACACACAGAATGCAACATTACTAAAGTTCACAAATTCAAAACACAAGCTGGTCTGGCTACGACGTTCCAAACAACACTGCATCAGAAACATATGAACAACCAACTTCTAGGTTTACTTACAGCAGATGCTAGTTCACTCTCATTCATATCTTCAACAAATACGGGCTTCTCTAATGGTTCTGTTGGAACATCTTCTTCCTTACTTCCCATCATCAGGACAGTCACGCCCTACAAAAATAATACAGTTCAAACTATCACATCTCAGCCCATGGTCAAGAACATAACATCTTTGGTTACCACAGCCGTGAGTATGAAGATGACTGTCTTTTGGATGTTATGTCATGCAGTCTGGTAGTTGACTGACGATTCAAAGATGCTTACTGCCTCCACCAACATGGCGATGAGTCACCATCATGCTGATGATGGGGGCAGTAAGCACCTCTGAATTATCAGTAAACTTATATCAGACTATACAACACAACATTCCAGACAACAGACACCTTCATGGACAAGAATGTTCAACACATATTTTCTTCTGTCAAAAACCAACTATTAATAAATATTTGATCCATACAGAAAAATAATGTAATCACTGGGAGAACGTCTGAAATTCACTGCAAGGCAATCAAATCAATCCCTTTCTTATACTATGGTTGCAAAATGGCGAACTTACAAAGTATTTGTTCTAATGTAACATAACACTGTTCCAACATACATCTTTCAGTTTGATGTTTCCCCAGTCAGAGTCTTTAAGTGTTGTTCCCTTAAGCATAACTTTCTGCCTCTCAGGTTGGACTCCTGTCAAAGCAAACAGCTGCGCTTTGAAGACCAATGGATCCTCATCAGTATTCAGCTCAATATCAGAGTAGTTCTCCTTTCCCCACTTCACTTTCACTGAAAGCATCAGATTATGACAAAAAAATGCATCACAAATCAAACAAACAATTTGTCTACTACCTGAGACAGACAATAAATTGTTATATGAATGAATGATCACGAAGATGTCTGTCTTCTGGATGCTGTGCTGTGTAGTCTCACTGGAACTGACATTTCAGAGGGGCTTACTGCATCCATCACCAGGGCTTATGACAGACGCACCTCCCACCGCTGTATATTGGTTTCCTATGATTAAGTTTAACAGCAATCCAGTCTCAATCTTGGTCAATCAAGTACCCATTTCTTGAAAGATTTAAACCATGTACTTAAGTAACCAAAGGTTCAATTAATGCCTACAAGACTTACAAACAGGACTCAACATATACACTCTTCTGCTTAGCCTTAATAAACACAAAACTTTGTGAGGTAATAATAGCGAGCTAATTTTTATGCGTTGGCTCTTAAATTTGTACTATACTTGTGTAATGTTCAGGTTTCATACTAATACTGTTATACGGTTAGGCCCCGACTATCATGCAAACACCATGATACAGCAACCAGTGCCAAGACAATTTGAAACAAGATAAAGATTTTTAAGGGAGACTTTTCTTCTTTTGTGCAATTCTAATATGATCAGAATTATTTTTTGTGCACTGTTGGCATTTCTGCATAAAAGTTCTCTCATGAACAAAGGACCAAAAACGGACGGTGTGATTTTCCCAGCGACCGCAAATATTAAAGGAAATCAATTAATTTGGTTCAAACATTTCCGACAGTAATCAACATCGTGCCCTATTCAGATAGTGAAATCAATTAGAATGCTATACAGGACTCCTTTGTTAAGAAAATAGCTTTCGTTCGATATCATATAATTACCTACATGCACAACACTTTTCTAAACAGATTAATGAAGGTGTAGGATATTTATTGTTGTAAGTTACATACGCAAGACAAACACTACAAATATACGTTTTATAAAGTTTGAATATAACGATTCGCATGTTTGTGTTAAAAGTTGTACCTGATTATATGTTTGAAAACGTAATAATAGTTACATTCAATAAAACTTTATGAATACAATTACGTTCCTTGACAAGCTGTCAAATGATTACTTAACGAGGTATTAATTGCATTTGAATGAGGCGTTTAGAGGTTAGACTTACCTTTGTATGTCGGCATGATAATTTATATAAATTATCAACACAATTTACACAATTTTAATGCTTATTTTAAAGAAAAACTCGATGGATAACTCCTCAAAACAAGAATAAATCTTGAGATTTTACAAAATTTACACTTTTAAAAATAAACAGTCAGCAACACGGCAAAATTAGTTACCATAGATAACGTTCTTACACAGGTTCCAACGCAGCTACTACGTAGGTCTGTCTGTGTTATTAACTGTGAGTTGAACCTTCGGTTTCATAACCCTCGGCCACTATTGAAAAAGAAGATATCTATCTGTGTAATTTCTGTGAGATGAACCTTCGGTTTCATAACCCTCGGTCGCTAATCAGACAGAAGACATGTTTATAATCTTTGAATTAGATTTCGAAGTTCCACTTTCGCTGACAGATGGCTGCCGTATATAATCCGCAATATGACAATAGTCCACTATTCACGTACTGTAACTGCACATCTTAACAATTGTAAAAAAAATGTAAACTGAGATTACATAAAGATTGTTCCAGAAGTATTGCCTTCAATAAAAGTTGTATTTAATTTACACAATTACTCCAAACAGTTCCTCATGGAATAACTACTGGTTTTCCACAGATTATTAAAATGTTCCTTGACTATGAAGTTAGTTTTTCAGTATGTTAAAAATGAGAAAGATGTCATAAAAGCTTAAATTTTTCAGTACAACTTTAGTTTTCCGAAATGTTTGTTTTTAAATTTTTAATCGTCATTATAAAAGTGATGACTTAAAAGTTCATTTTTCACTGGCTAAAAATATGAAATTAGATTGGTATGAAATCTTAAAATGTGAGATGCTATCGTCAGCCTAAATTGTACAATTTCATCCATTCCTTTTCTCATCGAATTTTAACACAATGTACAAAAGGGATTCTGAATCAAGACCGCGAATTCTGAGAGTAGCGTTAGGCCAGGAAGGCCGTTTTTACGCTCGCCGCATGTCGTGCAATTGGAAATATAGGTGTGAAACGCCGTATTTGGACACAAATGTGTTCGACCCCTTAACATCTGCCGAGCAACTGAATACATCACACCTTCCTATCGCCTTACACTGGTGCTGTCACCTGGCGACAGTGATCAGAAGCACGAAGCGTCCTGTCGTTCTTCATGGTCAGTCTGCTCTCGCTGTTGGAGACAGCGGACGGTCAGCAGTACCGTGTAATATTGCAAAACAAGGGGACGTATTTCTCGAGTGTTCTGTGGCGCCAAGACGTCACTGCGAGTGTCGTTTGTGTACACATTTCTATGATATGTTAATCAGTGCTTCGTATTAAAACTCGAACTACTGGAAATAAGAAAAATATGAATTATTACTTTCTTTTGTGTTTCATTGTTTAAGTTGTAGGTTTGACAGTAAGCGTCAGTTGGACTTGGAAGTACAAAGTTGGTGCTACAAAAGTTCCTCTCATTGTTTACGTCAGTTCCATCCAGGACCAGTTATATCACAAAAACAGAGAATAGCAGCTTCTCTTTCATCACAATCATCACTGGTTGCTAAGCAATTGTAAGGTGAGTGACCCTTTCCGCTTCTCCGCGTATAGAACATGTTCCTTCTGCGAGACGAAATCTTACAGTTGACCAAAAGAAACTACACCAGCCATCGCCGTGCATTTGTTACAACCACTGCTTTAGTCAGTACAGGCTAAGTGGCCCGTGTTCAATTCTCGGCAGAAGCAAGAATGTTTCTCTTCACCATAGTGCCCTCTTTATCACCGGTACCCGTGTACCCCAGAGCCGGTCTGAACGTTATGACGAAGACAAATGTACTAGTCCCTGGCTTCTTGCTGACTCTTCCTTGGAAATGTAATAGTTCACCACCTCCTTCCAGAAATCTCGCTATTGGTTCCTCTCCCGATTCAGAATAATAAATTTTAAGGCCTATTTTAATATTATCCTCCCACAAACGCCTAATGTTCTAGCCGAAGTGACAGATAATTGTTACTTGCGGCGTTATGAGATATGATCCGTGTAGCAGTGGAAATTTGCCTGATGACGTCATTTTGTCACGTGAAGGTGAGTCCTCACGAAAAGCTGCGATCAATGTGCGTCAAAGAGAGAATTCATCCGTGGTCACTGTGGGAGTTTCCAACCAGAGTGTCACGGACGATGATAATCGTACTTACTGGCCGCCACTGAACGCAACTAAGTGCCAGCGAGATTGTGCATCTGATGTCTAATAACAGGGCGATTACGCTGGGAACACTGCATGAAACCAGTCGAGAGTCGATCACAGTGAAGTCCGGATTTGAATCTCAGCCTCGTGTTTCTTCTTATTTGGGAGGGGAGATAGCTCCTGACTGACGTTACTCTGTTTTCCTCAGTACCTCCAGGAATACTTTCCAATTAATTATTCATTGATCATTTCATAAATCCTGCAAACAGCGATTATTTCCTTAAACGGCGTTAACCAGTTGATCTTTTTAATGGTGGAGTCTAGTGTTTTCTTCGCGGTACGGACTGAATCTTTTAATATTAATTAGACGAGCTTCTGATTCAGGGGTTAACCATTTGATCTTTGTAATGGTGAAAGGAGGTGTTTTCTTCGCGGTACGGACTTAATTCTTAAATGTTATTTAGACTAGTGATTAATCAAAATTTACCACCCCTTAAAGCCGTCAAAATTTACCCCCTCCCCCAGTAGGAACTTCTAAATTATGTACTAAACTTCCAAATCAATAGCCTCAGCTTTCTCTAATACAAAATTCAAAATTCCGTCTTCTCTGCCGTCGGCTTCAAGGGATTAATGAATCCGTCTTTCTGAGTTATTTCCTCAAAGTGGGAGGATCTATTATGTGGAAGTCTCGTGTTTATAGGACACAATTGACAGGTTTTCTGCGGTAACTGTTTTGAGCCTGGCTGGCCGCGTTCATCGTGTGCCGTGTCATTGCCTTGGAGACGAGATTCACCCATAATAAGTAATGCAAATATTTGCCACCCGGCGCTGGGAGCTGTGCTCACAGATGACCAGCACATCATTGTTAAAATACTACTTTCTGGTCACTCAACTTCGCGCTGGTCTTAGGGCACCGGTTCGAAACCTGAGCTCATGAATTAGTTATGATATTTACAGGTGTGAAACATGTACCTAGACATTTCAGTATATTAAACGACAAATTTACATATTGCTTTAGACACGCCAGAAACCTGTTCTCCCGCCCTAGGGGAAGAACGCAGATTTAGGGACTGTGAGAATGTATGTAAACCGAAGATAATTGAAGAAAAATTGATAAGTTGTGTAATGAGGCGATTTATAATAAAAACTCTAAACATGTTTAGTAAAGGAGGAAAACATAACAGAAGAGAGGACGGCAGGATAACATTTGTTCGTTTCGTCGAGAAAACAGGAGCTAAGGTGACAAAGTCGAAATCTGCATTACCGATTTAAGTCATACAAGCTGAATAACGAGGAAAGTGTTTATATAATTTATTACTGACGTAATCGAGCACGTGTATGGAAGAAACTGGCCTCTGTAAATAACCCTTTATTTATTTTCTTGTGGCTACATTAACAGCCCTGTCGGCCATGCTGTTGTGTCCCCTTACAAACACGTGAAGAGACTGCTCGATTTCCACGAGGCTTGGTAAACATATTGTGCTATTACAAATCACCATGGGCATGAATAGTTAAGTTGAACTGTTCCAACATGGCTACAATGCGAAGACAGTGTCATATAATTCAGACAGCATCAGGCTGAAATGACTGCATATGCAGACAGGCGTACCAAAAGCAAACTAGTTCTCTTGTACTCACTCGCACTGTCTGCAACCTCGTGTCTGCGTGGAAGTATTCGTCTGATACGTGATGTCTGAGTCCCTACAGTGAAGGCAAGAACGGCGGCATTAAGACCTTTTTAAGGGCATTAAAAACCCTTTAAGAAGACTGACATAAATGCAGTTTGAAATTGTAGAAGTTACAAATAAAAGCAATGCAACTGAATGACTATTCTTCTCTGATTGAATTGCCAGCACGTTTTCGAACAAAACAGAAAAAGGAGACTTCAAATCTAAAAGGCGCTGACATTTGAGACTCTACACAGCAGCACGCCCCCAGACACCCGGAGAACGAAACTCGACTTACACTGATCGCTCATTAGGCTGTCACAGATAGGTCAATCGTGTATCAGACAGGAGAGTTTCTGCTCCAAAACACGTCCTGCTCTGTAAAAATACTGTCATTACAGCCCAGAATATAACCCAGATACTTTGTTGTCGAAGCGCCTACCGGAATAAGATGGTATTATGATCCAAGCTTACGCCCTGACGAACAGGAGATTGCTGGTTTCATGTAACAATGGCTCACAGCCGAAATTCACCACCTTGTATGGATCAAGATTGCTGGTTTCATGTAACAATAATCTCATACCAAAGCCGAAATTCACCACCTTGTATGGATCCCAAAGGTCCATTACCGTGTTCAGTGGAGCCCGTCACCAGTTCCTGTCCTGAGCCAGATGAATTCAGTCTATTTCCCCAGGTTAAATTTTAATATTATCCTCCCATGCATGCCTATGTCTTACGAGTGGCCTCTTACCTTCAGACTTACAACCAACATTTTGTGCGCATTTGTCACCTCCTTCATGTGGGCTACATGCCCCGCCCATCTCATACTCCTTGATTTGGCCCAAAGTCCTTCAAAGATATACATACAAAATTTTGGTCGGAAACCCCGAAGGTATAAGGTCACTCGGAAGACAGCTCCCAAGTAGGACCCCTTATAAAACTATAAATCCGAGTACTTTTAGACATTATGTTTGGTTAGAACGCTGGCCTTGTAATCCTGGGGGGTCTCGGGTTCGATTCCCGGCGGTGCCCGAATTTATAACTTGTGTTGGGCAAGGCCGTGGTCTAGGCAACACGGAGTTTTCCTCCGTGGCATCCCAACAATTACTCCATTCACACACAGAAGAAGGCAATGGCAAACCACTTCTGGATCATCTGCCAAGAACGTATATGAACAGGTCCCAGTCCGAGAAAAGGATGGAAGGATCCTGTTCATATGGACCTGTCGTCAGACAGAACACTAAATAAATAAAACCTTAGATGGGGTATCGGACAACCTTAAGACCTCTATCTACGATGGACGAAAGAACAGAGAAATACGTGTATGCCCGAAACGGAATTCGGACTAGTGATCCCACTAATATCATCATCATCATCACTGCGTGTTTGTAGGCGACTCCGAACTCTGCAGATCCCGAACATAAACCCAGGTCTTCTGTCTGCATGACTGTACGAGCAGGTCATTGGGTCGAGGTGTGACATGTGTTTCTTTCAGATTAAGGTCACGATCAGGCGCTTCTAATTGCCGAGTGTATAAAATCCACGTTGCTATGGGAACCACGGCCTGACATGGCAAACCACATTTCTCAGACTTCTTAGCCGCTTAGTTTCTTTTGCGGATTTTTGTGAGAACGCACAGACCACGAGTTTCACTGAGCTGTAATGTGGAACAGCGTTTTACCGCGTCGTCGGAGGGAGAGGATGGAAGGAAACCTCCATGCTTTCGGCAGACGGAAGTGGTCAGCTATGCGTCCCTGCCAGTTCTCCTACACGTCATCCCATCTGTTTCTTTGTCAACTTCGTAACTAACGAAACAACTTCTTCTTTCCCTGGTAGTTGAACCCGAATGCTGAGCTCCACCGACAACGCCAAAGCCCGCCACCGGACACGATCCTGAGCCAGTTCAATTCACTTCCGGTCCTCACAACCTGTTTAATCTTATATCCCCATCGCTTTCTTGGTCTTTCGAGTATAATTCTCCAAGATTTTCCCCACCAAACACGTGTGTCACTAACCTAATAATTGGCCTACGGTTTGCCACGTATAAATCACGACGTTCCTCGTTCACTCAAGTTAATATACGGCTCTTGGGTGCAGTAACGACATAACAGTGGTAACTATACGTACCACCTGCCTTTTAACAATCAGCAACTCTCCATTTTGTATTTATGTGTTTCGTATAATTCTCAGAATAAACAGCGATTATTTCCTTAAACAGCGTTAACCAGTCGATCTTCGTAATGGTGAAGTGTGGTGTTTTCTTCGCGGTACGGACTGAGTATTTAAGTATTATTTACATGAACTTCGGCTTTAGAGTGTTAATAAGATGGTCAAATGGGTCACTGGTGACTCAGGAGACGCTTGTGGTGATATAATAACCCGAAGCTGTCTGTCGGGTACTCCACCCGATTCGAAACCGGGACACGTGGTCGTCGTGACGTTTACCGAGACAATTTTTACAACGGGGCCAGGGGACGAATGTTGTTAGCTGCTTCCCAGAAGATAATGGGAGCTGTTTCTCACAACGCCGGCCCAAAGTGTTTCATGGACCCAGTAACCAGGTTGTGTTCGCATTGAAGCAGTCAGCAGCTGTGAAATGTGAGTCTCTTCTTGTTTACGAAGAATTTCGGAATCCAGGCTTCGACACTTACTGGTGAGCTGAAGTATTTTTACGTAAAACTTTTTTAAAAAAAATTTTTTCTCAAAAATGACTAATTGTACTACAGGAA